AAATACATATTGCAACACAGTCCCTTAGAAAATCACACATTTCAGAGCAAGAACACGGGCTCTGCTTACACCACTGTGCTTTGTGGCAGTTTGAAACAACAGGAGTGTTCCCTGTGCAGTACTGGGGGAAGAGGAGTCTGTAGAAGCAAACACAATTAGTGGCAGACAGGAGATCACCTGGTCTCTGCATAGAGAAGCAGCAAGACAGGTGCTGGAATAAAGGGTTCATTTTGATTGTCTGTATGACTAGAGAAAATTAAGGGGGAGAGTAAAAGTGACACAAAAAGGTTAAAATATGAATGCTTCATATTGAGAATATTTAATATTTTGATGCTTTTATATTATTAAATGTCTTTATATCACTAAAATCTGATTAAAATCATCAGTATATTTCTACAGAGAAAATGAGTATTAAAAAGTTTGAAAAAAAAGAAGTAATAGAGGACAACTGAAATTAAAATTAATAAGAGAAACAAGGAAGGCAGTGAAACAAATTGAAAACAAAGTGATAACATTAAGGTCTCTTGATAACTTTAAATTAAACTCAAGCATCTTCCTCTAAGACATTTATTCCAGACAACCTCAGCTTATTCTCTGAAGAACATAATTTTGGTTCCATGGGTGTTGAGTGACAAATGCCATCATGTGATACACAGACAAAATTATGTTCTTCAAAGAATGGAATTACCTGAACCAGTTATTTCTTCTGCCCTAAATTCTATTAATCAGTAAAAGAACTGTTTTATGTATAGGACTGGGTTTTGGTTTGTTTTCAATGACAGCCTGAAACCTCTTCCAGGCCTCACCAAATGAAAATAGTATTCTCCAAACATGGGCTAGAGGTAGAAGATGTGAAAGCAACAGATCCTCAGTGTGGACATTCCCTCACACTCTGAGTTTCCTGTCAGAGCCAAGTGCAGAGGTCAGCACAGGAGAACACCCACAGTGCCCACCACCACCACAAGCTTCTCACAGCAACTGTGCTCTATCTTTGTTTTCTTACCTCATGTGTTCCATCCACTCAATGTGCATTTCACTAACTGAGAGACCAAAGCCTCAGGACCACAGAGAAATGTGTCTGACCATACATTACATGTGACATATATGAGTGTCAGATGTTCCATCCCAGCAGAGCCCATTCCAACAGAGACAGCCCAATGAGTCTGATCAGATCAAAATTAGTCTTTTGGCAGTGTGGTTCACATAAATTTAATATTACAAGTACAGTCATCAGAAATACAATCAGGGAAATTAATGCACATGGAAGCACGGGCACACAAGTGGCTAATGAGTTTAACCTCTTGACAAACACTGGGGAAGGGATTAGCAGTCAGAGCCTTGTTTAGCAAGATTAGGCCACTTTGTGCTTTTTCTGTCATGCTTAAATATTGTTTGGTCTTGTACAGTGCGTTTTGTAAAAAAAAAAATCCCATTGTTTTTAGAAAAAGAACAGGGAAAAAGTTATTATGTGCTTCCCATGGGATTGACCAATATTATGGTACATAAAAGAGATGCTGATTGTGAAAATTATTTGCCCTTCCAGTGGTATCCAGGGCAAACCTGGCTCTCCAATGGGATCCCAAAAGAAAACCTGAAAGAAAAACACAAAATATGTAGGAAATAAAATATTTTCTTCCAGGCTCATAGTCAGTGGAAAGCACTGCCACAATCATAATGCAGGAGGAACAAGGAAAGTAAAAGTCATATACAATATAGTCAGCTCTCTCCTTTTGTAGTCCAACCCTTGCATTGCCTTTTCTCTTATGTCTCTTATCTTTCACACATCTTGAGTGAAAAGAAAAGTCTGGAAAAGATAAATTACTCTGCTTCCCATGAGAAGTGGTCTCTGCTACAGCATAAGAGAATTCAGAGGAATTCATGCAGGGAAACAAGTAGTTTTCCCCAAGAAAAAGGCCATTTGGGGCTCTAGGCAATTAAGGAAATAACTCAGAAGTGTGACAGAGGGTCTATCATCCCTTTCTGATTTATTCTTTTATTTTTTAGGCACGGTCAAGTAAGGAGCAGCGTTGGGGAACACCTCTTCTCTCCAGAAATCACTCCTTGGAGGAGGAATTTGAAAGAGCAAAGGCAGCTGTTGAGGTATTATTTAATTTTCTGTTTTCATTTTCAGCTGATGTTCTACGGATTTCTTTTTTATCTGCATCACAAGCAGAGGAGAGAGTTGGAATTGGATTATTTAAAACAAAGAAAATGTGCAATTTGTGGAGAGATTGATTTAAAATAGCAGCTTGTCTCTTTAAAAAAAGGAAATTCAAAACACTTATCTATAAAAAAAACATTAGAGAGAACCAAGTTTTTAAGCTGGGTTTTTATTGCTAGAGCAAATGGGTAAATGCTAATTCCAAACCACAAGTAAAAGAGGGAAACATTTCTCCCAGCAATTGTGTGCCATCACTTCTTTACACCCAGACTCAAACCAAGTCTCCCCTGTGAAACCAGAGCTCAGAATCACTGATGAGCAGCACAATTACCTGCTGTAAGACAGAGCTGTACAGAGGCACCAGCCATGCACCATTTGCACACTTTTCCAACCAGTGGCAGAATGCTAAGCACAGGAGTATTCTTGTTTCCTGGTAAATCTATCTGCTTTGAAAAGACAGAAGTATTTGGATAGTTCTCCTACTGCACTTCTGGGGTTTTTTCACTCACTACTACATTTCCAACATCTAAAGCATCTCTTGAGTGTTGTCTTACACCACTAGTTCAAATTAACCTTGTCTAGACACAAAGTAGAACACAGGTTTTTTAGCAGAACTCCACAAAAATATTGGATGTAAGCATTGGAGTATCATTATTTTCATTATCTTCTTAGGGGTTCCATGGGCAGCCCTTCAAAATCCCATCACCACAAAGAGCCAAGACAGCTCCATGCCAGCAAGGACAGAATTTCAGGCTAAATTATGTAACAGCCACTGAAATGAGTTCTTAGGGTGCAGAGGATGAAGCTGTGAAACTAGTTCCTCTAAACTGGTTATTTTTAGCATTTTTAGCACTGCAGGCTCATTAGTCTTGAAACCATCTAGAAACACTTTAGGGATGTTTGAGTTTAGATTTAAATTTTAGTCATGTATTTTAATACTCTTGTAGCTCAAGTTATGTACCATTCTAATGCCAGTGTTGACAGCTGAACTACTCTAGCTCAATACTGGCTGATGAGAAAAAAAAACTATGCCTAAGTCTGATACTGGCTTCTAGCTAGAAAGAGAAACTCTTGTTGAAGTAATTAATCTGATTTGTATGGGCTTTTTCCATTATATGCTATGGTAAGATGCAGGGTTTCTACCATGGTTTCTTGGGATTTTATTGCACACACAAAAAAATCTAGTCTCAGCATACAAGGCCAAAATAGACAAAATCAGTAAATTAGCTTTTTCATAAACCAAGCACCAAAGGCATTTTTTCTTTCCAGATCAAATAAACTTTCACAAACAACTTCTGCTGGGGCAGAGGAGATGTTTCTGGTGTCACACATCACACACATTCGCTCCTGGCAGGAAAGGAGGGAACTTGCTTGCAAATTGGCACTGCTTGAAATGCTTTAGATGTTCCCACTTGCAGGGCAGGCTGATCCTCAGGGTGGGAAGTGCTGTGCTGTGACCTGGGCAGGCAGCACAGGGAATCTCATGTTGAACATCCCAGTGCTGGTGGTTGAGCAAATGATGTCAGTACTCCTGCAACTGCCAGGAACTTGTGTGATGGGGAGTTTCCAGACACTCAGCAGAAAGAAGAATCAGTTGAGTCCAACAACAGATTACAAGACATTATTGAATTACTGTGCAGAGTAAAGTAAGGAGGAGAATATATTGTAAAAAAAAAAAAAATCCCAAACCCTACAGACTAAAAGGTCATTCTGAGGTAACAGAGACAGGTTGTTAAAATACTTGAAAATACTCTCCAAAAGGGCTATTAAAAAGAATCAAATTAAATGTTTCCCCAGCTGTAGCTGGCAGCCTTAAGTTATTCTTTCTGCTTAAAATAGAACCTTGGGCCAGGTAGTTAAAATGTAAAGGAAAGGATCCTTCAAGACCTTACAGAGCAGTTATTCCCATTTGCATATGAAAAGAGCTGAATTTTCATCCTAGCTAAAATGAAGTAGTAAGAAAGCTGGAGTGATTGAAATAAATTGGAGCCCATCTCAGAAAGATTAGTTCTTTCTTAAGCAGAGAATAGATACAGGTCAAAAATTCATCTTTTGGGCTTTGGATGTTTCTGTAATATTCTTTGATTTTGGGAAAGCTCCAAGTAGAAAGATTAGCCAGAAAACTATCAAGAAAAGGAAGTAAGTCTCAGGTTCTTGGTGGCCTAGTTCAAAAGGAATTAATTAACAATTCAGTAAATGAAGACACCAAAGTTTATCCTCCACCCAGTATTCACCTCAGCACTTTGGGAATGGTTTTAAGATGTCAAACTTTGAGATTAATGAAGATTTGTGAGGTAATTCTTTATTAAGACGGTTTAAAGATGTCTATGCCATTGGGGAATCTTTTAAGAATAAAGTGGTGAATAAAATAGCTTTTTGACTAGAGAGGGTCCTGATTCCTTTGCAGTGTTTGGGTGCTTGCAGACCTTGCTACCTTTTCTGTTAATCTGGAAATTGGATTTGATTTTTGCCTCATGATTTTTTGTCTCAATATTTTCCAAGTGCTATAAGAACTATGTTTTAACACAAACTTTCTGATAATTAGCTCTGTTTCACCAAAATTTTTTACTTTTGATTTTTTTAAAAATGCCAGGATGGGGATTGAGATCCATCCTGTACTTATATTTCATTAAAACATTTGTTTTATCAACCACCATCCTACTGGTGATGAATTAAAATAAACAAAATAAAAGCAAGAAGGTGCAAAAACTTCTAACTGAGCAGTCTCAGAGATGGAAAAAAACCTGTTTTTTTATTTTCTTATTCCACATTTCTCTGATTAAACTGCAGATGCCACACTGTTTTGTGAGCTTATGCATAAGAAATTTTGAGCTGTCCTTCCCAGCATCCTTTTATTTACAACACAATGTCACATGAACCATCTGCTGTATAATGTACTGCTTTGAAGCATCAGAGCACATTACAGCTAAATTATGTGACAATAGGAGGAAAAAGATGGGATTAATTTGTTCTAGCCTAGGAAAATGTATTCCAGGACCATCAGCTTTGTGGTTCCCATGAGTATTGCTTGGATTCTTTCTGCACCTACAACATTCCTGTCTCACTATTTAGACATTTCTTTGGATGAGCCTAAAACTGGCCAAACCATATGTTAACTTAGGAACCAGGAACTTGAGTCATTCAGATGCATTTCATTTGATACTCTTTCCAAACACAGTGGGAATCTTTGCTTTGATAAACATTTTTCATCACTAAACTTCGGGAAAATTTTCGGAATTTTTTTCAAGATTATATCAGCCAAGGAAAGCTTACCTAGTTAAGTACACAAGTTTAATTTACTGTGTTTTTCACATCAAAGAGTATGGTAATGCAGTAATTTAGAGAACAATGGCAGAGCCTTGCTTATGCATTGGTCAATGAGGAATGTTCAAATTAATTTTTGGCAATACAGAATAGGCAAAATTCTAGAAGTTATGATAATATGTAAATTTATAAATACTTCCCCTGCCTCCTTTCATTGGATCATAGGAAATAAAGAGCCTGGGAATATTTTGCCTCCCATTTGTTTAACTGGTTGAGCATATCTTTAAATACTAAGAATAAAAATAGCCTCCTTGACAAAATGCAGAATTTTCTGCTTGGAAGAAGTCAGATGGTATGAACATTTATCCTGGTTGTCATTCCTCTTAACTGCTACAGATGATCTGAGAATGTGTTAAATGTGTTCAACTGGGCTGAAAACTTTTGGTTTATCAAAGTACTTCACTAGGCTTAATGTGGCAAAAACACTGAAATGAGGTTAATAGGCACTGCTGGTGTAGCAAATAGAGCTAAAATTAGACCTAGGAGCCTTGATCCAAAGCCAGGTTCTCAGAAAGGCTCAATACTAATTTAACCCTCCTGCTACTGAATTCAATGAAAAAATGGCAGCTGAAATAGACTTAGGCCTTCAGCAAAGACTGTAATATTTACAATATTTAAATGTGTGTAATATTTATAATTCTCTTCCTCAAGGACACTGAACTGCTCTGCTGTTGACATTGGAACCACATTGGGTCAGAGCCTGGTCCAGGAGCTCAGGGCAGCTTTGCTGTGGCAGTGTCAGTAACTCCTCGTGCTGAGCATCCTCAGAATTCTGTAGCCCAGCCCAAACCTTCCTTAAAAAATAAACCCAAAATGACTCTGGGTCCTGTGTCCAGCTAGTGTAGGATGAGCTGAGAGCAATTACAGCAAAGCTGCTCTCATTGCATTGTCCTCCCTCCTTTGGCTCTGTAAATGAACATTCAGGGTGGCTACCTGAGTGCACAGTAATTCACTGGCTTTTTATGTGGAGTGTAAACACAGTGAACTTCTGTGAGAATTATAAATATATAATTAAACAGCAGAATTTGAATTTAAGACCAAAATCCACTTGCTTACTATCTGCAGAAATATGATTTGATGTTTCCATACCATTGATTAATAAGGCATTTTTGTGGAAAAAAGGAAGCAAAAATTCTAATATAAATATCATACATATTATTTCTATAAATTAAGTATTTCTATTAATTAATCTGGTTAAATAGGGCCATTACTAATTAGTTTTCAGTAGTTTTATTAATTTTAATCTGAAGGAAAGGGAAATTTCCATATTTTAACTTCATGCTGAATCTCAAAATTACTGCTAGTTAAAACATGATCACATAATTTTTATTTCAGTGCTGGGCAGATTTGTGCTGAATGAGAAGCAGTTGATGGAGGCATCTGTTGAACAGGATTTTTTTGGAGATTCAATTGCCTCTGGTTATGGCTGCTAAGAGTTAAAGAGGGAGTGATCTGACTTATTTTCCCAGCCTTTTCAGACCCTAAATAAGCATTTCAGTACAAACTCACAACTCTTTATATGAAAGTATTTTCTTCAAGCCTGGAATGAGAGCAAATTCAGAAGTGGTGTAACAGAGAGGTCGGGGCAGTTCACTGCTATTACCTGGAGTGAAGTCTCCTCTCCAAGAGTGAATGATTCCCAATTTATTTCCTTTTCCATGGAGTAACATAGCATATACCTTCACAGATCCAGTAACTGCATAATTCAGACAATCCTGAAGACTGAGTTCATACAATTCTGAATTTCTTCCTGAATGGAGGGCAGTATGCTTTCCTTTCCCCAGCACCTAAGCAGGGTTGCAGCAAGCCATGCAATCACAGTCTAAATTCTATTTTTCCAATCATGCCTGGCTGTGGAGCTGCACCAGAGTTGTCAGCCTTATAATAAAGACTCACACAAAACTATCTGGACCAGTTCATAAAACCTTCAATTAATTTTGATTAATTAAAATTAATTAATCAAATCTGATTAATTAAAATTAATTAATCAAATCACTCTCAAATGGTTCTGTCTTAATCTCAGTAGATTTATTTGTGATGTTTTGTGTGATGTGAATAAGCTGAGAAACTGTGCCCCCAGTGCTGTGTGCTCACTGAAACACTGGCCATGTCCTTGTAGGAACTGGAGAATTTTGGAAAGACTCGTAGTGCTCTGCAAATACTCTGCTATGGATCTCCTTTGCAGAGTCCCATGACTAGTGTGTGGAGGCTGAAAAAGTAGCACCTTAATTTGGCTTCTGTCCTATAATTCTATTTCTATTTCTTGGCATCATTTTCTAGTAGCCACATTTGTTCCCTCCTTCTGGTTGTTGCTAATCTCATTCGTCATCCTAAATCTCATCTGTTTTTCATAATTTCTCTTTCCCTTGTATGTGCATTTTCCCCTCATCTTTGAGCTGAATAGTAATCTTACTGTATGATTCTATAATCTCTTGTCGATTCCTCTCACTAGCAGAGCATACAATGCAGTATTAAGATTTCTCCACTATGTCAAAAAGCCCAATTTGTATTACATTCCTTGCACAAACACCCTCTGTCTAAGCTTGGCATTTCTCTTTCTCATAGCTGAAAATTATGCTGAATATACCAAAGTTAGCAATGCTTGCTCTCTTTCAAACTGTTTTATCTATTGTTATTCTTTTGCATATGCACTTACTTGATTTTTCTTTTTTATTCCTTTCTTTTCTTTGTCCAGGGAGCTGCAGCATTGATTACTTTCAAATATTATGTAACAATTTGCTGTTAGCATCAATAAGATGCAGTGTAAACTGCTGCAAATCCTGCTTCAAACAGGACATACACTGCCTCTGAGATAAAGACTTTTCTGTTGACAAATGGCATTCCAATATAAGAGATGAGCTTTAATTATATGGAATTTCTAACAGAAGCTGTAGCATTTCAGTCTGTGTGATTATTAATAGAACTAATTATGCTCAGCAAAATTGACAGACCACTGGTAGAAAGAAATTCAAAAATTAAAAAAAAAACACATTTATTTTAAAGTTTTGTTGTTAATTTTATCTTTTCCTCCTTTTCTTCTAGTCTGACACAGAGTTTTGGGATAAAATGCAAGCAGAATGGGAAGAAATGGCTCGCAGAAATTGGATTTCAGAGAACCAGGAAGCACCAGGGCAAGTCACCATCTCAACCATCGAGAAGGTGACACCAGATTTTTTATTGCAGTACATCCCCCCTGTGCAGCTTTGAGATGAGCCTCAGCTCTTCCAGGGAACCCAAGGAAACTCTTTGGCCATGGAATTTTAATTTTATCCCAAAGAGCTCATCCTCTTTAATTGCCTGTGGGTGGGGCAGGTTTAGACGACCTTGCCACAGGGAGAATAGGTTTAGGCTTGCACACAGCCTAAATTCAGCTGAAAGGATCACAGCAACTGCTGGATTTATGAGCACTTTTGAAGACAAGCACATAAGGAAAAACACCAAACAAAAATACCTGGGCTGGCACATTCAAACACTGTTGATGATAGAAATTACGGTGATTCCATCTCTTTTCTTCATTCCTTCCGCTCTGTATTTAATTTGATTTCTATTATGCAGCTGATATTACCACACACCCTTTACACTGCAGTGGCAAGAGAAAAAGGCAAAACTTAAAGGAGTACTAAAATCAACTCGTGCTTGCAGCACTGCTCTGCATCTGGAAGGTTACTTGAGGGTTTCAGGATTTGAGCTGAGCAGCCGTGGGGCTCTGAGCGCTGCAGGGATCCAGCTGCTGGGTGTGTTCCTTTAGCACCACTTTGGATGTTCTGGGCGCTCTGCTCTTACCCGGCACTGGGACCTGTTGGCATTTCCTTTGATGGAGAGCCCAGCACAGGTACCGGCAGGTTTAACTCCAGAGCTGAAGTAAAAATACAGAGAGCAGAAATATAAATGCCCCCTGGTGTGACTTTTTACACTTTTTGCCATTGAAATTCCACGGGGGGAGCTCGTGCCATTTCCACAGAGGAAAGGTTGTCTGCAGCCATTTGGAAAACAGTGAGTCGCTGCGTTTTTAGACTTGTCATGCCCTGCAACTCGTCATTCATCACGGGTCCATTATCTCCCTGCTCCAGGGTTATTATTTCCACACTGACAACCCCTTCAAAGACTGGCCTGGTGCTTTTGAGGAAGGACTGAAAAAAATGAAAGAAGGTGACCTGCCTGTTACAATCCTGTACCTGGAGGCTGCAATTCTCCAAGAGCCCAACGATGCTGAGGTATTCACTGCTGTGCCTTTTCTGGCAAAGGAAAAGGGACCTCCCTGCAGCATGGAATGAGGGAATGATTCCTGGGCTCAAACCTCTGCCAGGCATGACTGACTGAAACACTGGATTCTAAGGGTTATGAATTTGTGGGTGCCTTTAAACAGATAATGAGTTCTTCACATGATGAGAATGTGGTTCTGAAATATTGTTTTTGACGTACTTTAAACCTTCCCTTCACATCCTGGTATTTTCAAACTGTCTTGTAAACACTGCTATCAAAAAGGTGAATATTTTTGATTTAACAAGACTGTTGAAAAAAATTTTAAAGTTATATAAATTTCTTCCATGTTGCTGTTTTTAACTAGTTTATATTTAAAGTCTGTTTTTTGTGAAATATTAAAAATATTTATGCTGTATCTAGGACTCTTTGAATCTCCTCCTACATTAAATTAAATTACTTCAAAACATTGGAGAATCCCAAGCTCTCTAGAAACTCCTAATATATAATATACATATAATATATAAATAATAACCCCTATAAATAATATACAACTAAATAATTGTTCTTCTCTATTTTCCATAAAATTGTAGCAAAATTTAAAATGTACAATAACTCAAATTTAAGAAATCAGCTTGTGATTATACACTGACAGAATACCCATGAATTCATTGACTACAAATATTTATTAGGCCCAAGGATATTTAGAACTGCATTGATTTGGGCTGTTGGTGTGCACACTGTAGAAAAATCTGTGGTTAGTGCTGGACACATCTGCTGCTTTTCCTCACCCCTGTGTTTAACAGTGATATTGTTTTACTCTGTTTGCAGCTGAATATATGTAACAAACTAAATGATTATTATTTTTGCAGGCCTGGCAGTTCCTGGGTATAACACAGGCAGAAAATGAAAATGAGCAGGCAGCCATCGTGGCCCTACAAAGGTAGAGATCAGTCCTAAATCTGGGCTCTGATGAGTGTTGGGTAATGGAGATCTGGGGATATTTAATTCCATTCCTACCTTGGAATGAGAAGCATTTATTTAGCAGAGTAGAGCATTAACACAGATCTAGAAACTTCCAGTGGCTTCAGAGGTATGACCAGTGATTAATATTTCTGTTTTATTAAGTAAGTGAAATATTTCATGGAGTAATTTACGTACATGCATAAAAGTTACATCGCCTAATAAAAATTAGTTAGGCATGATGCAAATGAAGTGCCTTTTTTACATTCCAGCCACTTGGCATATTTTCTGTAGTCTGTCCTTTAATGAAGAGGTTTTCTTAATTGGAGTGAGCTCCCTTCAGCTGCTGAATGCTAAACTGCCAACAGTTTTAGGTTGATGGAGATGTGAAGATCACAGAATTCTTGTACATAAAATGTGAGCTCCAAAATATGAGCATTATTATTATCTTTCTGTAATGGTTTTTTATGTTTCTATTTGAAGCAATATTCAATTGCATCAGCACTGATAACCATGAAGTTATTTCACCTACGGACACTCAAACTTGTTTATATGTCCCTTATTAGCTTACCTGGATAGAAATCCAAGGGATTTTCTGATTTAGGATCTTGCTCATCCCCAGTTTTCAAAGAGCCACAGTGATGATTGTGATTTTCTTCACAGGGTTTATTTTGGAACAATTCAAGCATTGTGCTTGGCTGCAGAAATATCTCAATATATTTTTTTATTTTCTGCCTAGGTGCTTGGAACTGCAGCCAAACAACCTGAAAGCTCTGATGGCCCTGGCTGTGAGTTACACCAACACTGGCCATCAACAAGAAGCCTACCAATCCCTGAGAAACTGGATAAAGCAAAATCCAAAATACAAGTACATTGTGAGAAGCAAAAAAGGCTCCCCAGCACTTACCAGGAGGATGTCTAAGACAGCAGATGAAAGGTAAATGCACTGGAAATCCTCACAGTGGAAATGCTAATGATAGCCCTGGAACTGGTGGTGCCTGCTGTGTCCCTGTGCTCTCTAGAAGTCCAGCCTGTTCTCTGTGATGGAAGAACAGGTCTCTAATAGCAGGAGAGGGAAGCCAATAGAGAACATTTGATTTAATTACTGAAGGCTTTGTCTTTTATGCCATCCCTGGAAGTTTAAAAAACAAACAAACAAAAAAACAAAAACAAACAAAACAAACCCAGCTTAAATGAAGCTGTATCCCCTCAACTCCCATCACTTTCCTCCATCCCTGTCTCCTGCCTTTCTATTCCCACATCCTGCACCCTCATCCTTCAGCTGCTTCCACTTCCATACTAAGCCTTTATCCAGCTCCACGTGTGTGTGTTTCCTACTGTTCACTGTTCCTGCTCTTTTCCCACATCCCAGCCCAGCAGAATCCAGGAACGAGCCATTTTGCAGTGCAACATGAGCTCTCTGAGAATACTGGGAGGTGGAACCTGCTTATTTAAAAGGTGTTGTGGTTCTAACCAAGAGACAACACAGCCATTTGATTTATCTTGGCCATCTTAAATAATAAAAAAATCATGATTTGGTAGCCCTCCATTATGATTTCATGAGGACAATAAACAAGTACCTCTGGACTGTGAGATGCAGAATAAAGTCATTAAAGGCATAAACATGATTTAGAGAAGCAAACAACTCAGGCTAGCTCACTGCTTGTCATTTTGAAGACAGGCCTTATGTTTTACCCTCATCACTTACAAGTCCTGGGTTGACAAGATAATTTCATATGAGCAAAAATAAAATATGCAGGTTCTGCTTAATTGCTAAGTGTGTTATTCTACTTTGGCTTCATCCTGCTGACATCTGGTGCTGTCAGTGCAAAGATTTTAAGAAGTTACAGTGGGCACAGAAGTCTTATGCTTTGGGAACTTTCTTCAAGGGTCTTGGCTGGTCCCTCATCTATTCCTCTTAAAAATACTATTTTTGCAAGTAAAGAGCTGTTTTATGTCTGAAAAACTCATCTAATTTGAATAGTTTTAATAAACTTTCATGTCATTCCACTTGGGTTCATGGCTGTACTTTGACCTCATTTCATAGATGAACTTTTTTTTTATTTCAGACAAGAGTTTACAACAGCACCCTGAAGTACAACTTTGCCACAATGAAGAAGCTCATTCACAAATTTTAGAAATATAGCACTTCTGATAAATCCACTACAAAGTTTTTAATTTCAGGCTATGAAATCAACATTGAAAATTTGTAAATAACTGTATGATGTATCTTTAACTTATTTTTCTCCCTTGTCTAGCTCATTACTTGAAGAAGTAAAGGATTTGTACCTGGAGGCTGCTCACCAGAATGGTGATATGATAGACCCTGACCTGCAGACAGGACTTGGGGTTCTTTTTCACCTGAATGGAGAATTTAACAGAGCAATAGATGCATTTAGTGCTGCTTTAACTGTTCGACCAGAGGTACATTTTAAACTTTTCTATTTTTTTAAATTTAGCTTTACAGGCCATTTCCTTTTTCCTGTCTGGATCAGGCTATTATTAATGACATGCCACTTCTGACATTAAAATTTTAAGACACAAAATAGAAATGTTAATTACAAGATGTAATTAACATCGTCATTCTTCTGTTTCAAAGCAGATTTATGCATGTCCAGTTCCTACCTGTGTGCTGATTAATGGTATTAAGTACATAAAGTTGCCTTTGATCACGAGGCAGAACCTCACGTTCCTTGAGATACAATACTAATATTTTATGCAGTCCTCTTTCCTTTGCAAGCAAAAATGAGACATTATGTCTGGTTTTTGACACCTACAGTAGAAAAGTCATTTTCTCACCAGGACTACACGCTGTGGAACCGCCTTGGGGCGACCTTGGCCAACGGGGACCGCAGTGAAGAAGCTGTGGAGGCCTACACACGAGCTCTGGAAATTCAACCTGGCTTCATCAGGTCCAGATACAACCTGGGGATAAGCTGCATCAACCTAGGGGCATACAGGTGAGTGTGAAAGATGTGTAAACAAAAAGTCAGGCATCACAGCTGCCAAGTGAAGATTCGTTTTCAAGCTGGAGGTAGCTAAGAAAAAAGTTATCAGAATATAGCAACATAATCTCAGCTATTGTAAAATGTTGTCATCACTTTTTACAAAGAACTAAAAAGCAGCTTTGTAGCTCTAAGTACAAGTACTCATAATCAGTGGGATTGTTCTTGCACTTAAAATAATCCTGCTCTTAAGAGTCTCTGTAAAAGAAAATGTAAGAGCCTGTCTTTTAAAGAGAAACTTGAGTTAAACTGCTTCAAGTAGTTCATGGCATCAAAAACATTCTTCAGGAATGAAGGTGATATTCCAGGGTCCCAGCTGCCAGGTTGAGACAGGGAAGATGAAGGGGAGTTTTGCTGCAGTGAAGACAGACCCCCAAAATGTTTGGGTAGACTAAGTTTTGTGTTACTCCAAGCCACGCCCTCTTGCTTGATGAAAATCAAGGAAGAACAACATATTTTATTATTTTGCACTGTAAAATTGTGTATTTAATCCTGACATGGAACCTTAGAAAGTTTGCCTGTAGTCCTTAAGCAAATTATATTGCTTGTTTCTTTTTTCTTTTCTTCTTCCCTACAGAGAGGCTGTCAGCAACTTCCTCACTGCTCTCAGTTTGCAAAGAAAAAGCAGGAATCAACAGCACGTTCCCCACCCTGCTCTATCAGGCAATATTTGGGCAGCACTTCGGATTGCTCTGTCTATGATGGACCAGCCAGAACTATTTCAAGCTGCCAATGTGGGTGATCTAGACATTCTCTTAAGAGCTTTTAATCTAGAGCCGTAATAAAAAGGATTCAAGAATTGATTAAATTGTATTAGGAAATAGAGAACTTTTTTACTACACATCCCCAAATGTCCACATTTTCCAAAAGATCATGACTGTAGATCAGTAGGGGAATTCCTTCAGACATTATTCATAAAGGGAAAGTTCAAAAGCACAAAAGTAGTGTAAATAAATTCAAACTCAAAGGGTTGAAATGAGCTGTGGCTAATTGGACAAAGCCCTGTACTACATGAAACAGCAATTTCTGAAGAATCTTCATCCCATGCAAGCTAGTTCTCTCTATATACATACAGCAGTAAAAAGAAAAGTATCTTAAGAAGAAACCTAGATAATGGTTATTGCACCTTAGAATGGCAAGCAGTGCATCCAAGGAACCTGCTTAGGAGCTCATTGCACTATGCTGACACCACTTTGCCCCACAGTGGGGATTCCCTGTCCTTTGGTTTTCTTTGATGAAAAATCTTCCCAAGGTCCGTTTTTAACACAGCTCTGAAAATAGATGCATGTAAAAGGGATATGTTTTGTTTTGAATGTATTTATTAGCTGGCAATCCATTTTTTGCTTCCAAAGGTACCTGGATTAGTTTGGACTCAGTTCTGCAGGCTCATAAGCCATGTGCAATGTCAAGGGGAACATAGTCCATGGAGGGCTATGGGATGAGGCCAGGTACATTTGGGGAAGCCAGGTGTTGCCAGCAGAAGAGGCAATTTGCACTGGAATTGTTACTGTTCAAACCAACTGTCCTTGATCTGGGACAGTCTGAAGGAGCTCATGGCAGGGTCTGCACCTTTCTGTGTACTTACGCACTTTAATCTTCCTTTTTGTAAAATAGTGCTATGCTTTTATTTTAGTCACCAACAATGGAATGTACAGGATGGCCTTGTTGGCAGAGAGGACCAAATATAATTTCCTGAAATGTAATGAGAAGGTTTTTAATATTCTCTTGTTTAAAAATGCAAATACAGTATAAGCTGTATTAACAACTAGAAAGATTATTATATGCATCCATCAGGTACTACACATATACATGCATGTGCATGCACATACATGTTGTATGCAAATGATGTCATTTCAGAACATAAAAAGCTGCAGATCTTCATTGCAAATGAAGAAAAATATTCATAGAAGTTACTGCCTGCAGAGAGTGCTCAAGGGAAAACTTTCCCTGAAGAAATTGGTCTATACTATGCTTGTAGGATTGAGACCAAGGCTTGATCCTGCTGTTGTGGCAAACAGCAGCAAAAGTCTCCACGAGCTCCATGATACCAGAGAAAATCCTTAGATAACACCAGTATGTGTAACTGCTTACAAATGTGTGTATAAACACCCTATCTTCATTTTCCCTGGCTGGATGAATGAGGAGCAGGGTTGGGGCAGTACCAGTCCCTGATGGATGGATTGATTCAGCTACAATCAAACACATTTAGCTCAGGGTGAATGTGTCAATCAAAGAAGGAAGAGAAATTTTTAGGAGGTGATTTTCAGTTGCTGATATTTTAAATATTTTTCCTGAATAGCAAAACATAAAAAGTGTTATTAGATGTGTTGATCTGTGATCAGGAATTCAATTTGAAGAGTAGCTGCTGCAATGTGTTAAAGTGGGACAAATAACACATTTCCTATAAACAACACTAGAAGAAAAATCCAGCTCAGAGGGATAAAAAAAGAAATCCAACTGCACAGATCACAGAGAAAGATGCTCTGTGGGAGTTGGATAGTTTCACCAGTACAAACCTAAAGTTTCTTGCAGCTGTCTGTTATTTTGAGCCACCACTTAAAGGAAAATTCCATGTAAGACAGTGTAATCACTGCATCTAATCACCATATATAGGTTGTTAAATAAAAATAATTGTCTTTAGAAAAATAAAAGGCTTACCCCTCACTCTCTCCCACTGAGTAGAGATGACGAAACAGCTACCAAAAATTTTTGAGAGTGCTTATTAATTCCTTGTTTACACATATATTCCTGTTTATCTACCAGGTGTTTCATAACCGATTCCTGCAGCTTTCTGTGAGGATGGGACTGCCTGGGAATGTCACTTTGGCTAAGTGGGCTGTGTATGCATATCTGCTGACAACAGTTTGCCCTTTTGCTTTGCCAGCGATGTGTGATGACAGCTCTTTATTGATAAGGCAGAGCAGAAGGTGCAGTGCAATTGAATCTGGGAAGTGATAAGAGAGAAGGGAGGCAGCTTTGAGAAGAGGCTGTAAAGCAAAGGCATATGTGCTTCGGCTTTGCTTGATGCCCTGCCATCACACAAGTTCTTCTAGGATATCCTTTGTGCTGTGATGTAGTATAATCAGTGCTTACGCAGAGGAATTAGCTGTTCAGGGACTTTATTTTTATATCTTTGAAATTAACAACAACAACAAAAAAGTATTTCTCAGAGTCAGGATGACAACTGGTATTTGATTCTTGTGGCAGTTCACTAAACATCTCCTCCAGACCGTGGATGAGTAACACAGAAATCATTAGGAAAACCTTATGCGTGTCCAAGCCTCTCCAAAAAGAACAGACTAAGTAGGTAGCTATTTGTTTATCCTGGGATGCACTGCTCAAAACTACATTTATCTGCTGACAAATGTCCACGCCCATGGGACTGGCACGAGCTGTGTGTGTAACCTTGAGACAACTGACCAGGCTGGACTCTGCCCTCCCTGGCCCTGGCCCATCTCAGCTCTGCTGTACAGCACCTGGGCTACAAAGCCTGTCCAGAGAGGGGCACAGCCCTGGAGGGGATCCCAGCTGCTCTCTCCTGTTGTAGCTAGCCCATGGCCAGTCAGCCATGTGCCACTGATAGAGGCTAAAGCAGATGACAGGGGGACAGTGGCACACCTCACACAGTTCTGGACTGGTTGGGGAGTGGCTGGAGACTGAGCTCACCTCACTCTAACAGGTCAGGCCCAGCAATTCTTGGGACTTCTGGGCACTTCCTTAGGATGCTGGGCTTTATCATCCCCCTTTAGCCCCCTCTGCCAAGCGCTGTCAGTGCAGCAGACAGCATTAGATACAGCTTTGAGCTGACCTCCTCTTGGCATTCCTTAAATATTCAGGACAAGTTTGTATATTTGCCTGAAAAGCAAGAGGAAACATGTGAGGAGGCTGCAGCATATTAACAACCTGGATAGAAAATTCATCTACTTGTGCTGCTAACCAAGCATGAGGTGGGATAAATAAGGCAGGTGCTGAACAGTAGCAGATTGAGCCTGAGAGTGAGAGACAGCAAATCTGGGTCCTGTTCTCAGCATCCCTGGGAGCTCGACCAAGTCAAAGCCTCCTGCCATCCCTGACTTGCCCAGGTGTGCAAGGAAGAAAGATGGGAAACAGCATTCCTGGCACTACCTGGGAGCAGGGGGGAATCACTGCCTCACACTGCAGGGGCCAGGTCACCACTCCCCTGGGCAGGAAGGTAACACAAACACGAGCTTGCTCAGGTCAAGGGAAGCAGTTTCACACAGAAACTACTGATTTCAGCAGAGGAGAGCCTCAGACATTTCAGGATGCTGTAGGGCATCTATGAGGTGAGGCCCAATTAGAGTGCTGCAATGGTGTATCACCATGTCCCACTCCTGTTTCCCTTTCTTGTTACTCCTCTCTTTTTCCAGAGGTGATTTATCACTGCCAGGCAACTGATTCCAAGTTTTTGAATATTTTTTTTCTATTTTATATTTCATGCAATTAAAAAAAAAAAAAGTATTCCTAACCCCAGCTTGGGACTGTCCTTGTCCTCTGCAAACCTTTAGGAATAGTTATGACCTAGAAGCCTGATCCATCAAGCTGCTGAACACTGTAAGCCTGGAGTCTGCACAAGAGTGCTCAGCACTCTGCATGGTCACTTCTCATGCAGGCATTCCAGGAGAGGCTGGCTCTGGCACCACTGCATGTGCTGAACAGGCACTGGAATCACAGGGGCTGGTGAGGGAGTGAGGCTTTGCCATGAGGGCAAAAGGCTCATTTCTGCCTGACCTCTTTAAACTGGAATGACCACAGCATCCTTGTGGCCAGAGACTGGTTTATGTCAGCTTGAAGAACCAATTTGACTTTTATGCACACACATAAACATACCTGTATCTAGTGGTGTTTTCTTATGAGCTGATAAATCACAGCACTTGTAAAAATATCGAGGGGGAGGTTCAAATGCCACAAAACCTCATGTGACAATATTGCATGCAACTGCATTAACCAGTAACCACTATGCAATATTAACCCCAAGCATGCAGCAATGCTACCTGAGCATGTGTTTAGAGAATGCATGCAGAAGGCTCACTCATAGGGTATTCTTAAAACTATTGATTCACATCATCTGTGGAACATTTTACAGGTCCCTTGCACCTGCCAGACTCAAATCTGAGTTGTTAATATTATCTGGAACAGGCTAGATCAAACACAGAGCCCTTTTAAAATCCCATCCTTAGAATTCACTTTGTGTTGTGGGTTTCATATTTGCTCCAAGTGTTTAATCATTAACAGACATCTGTATAACAGCTTTTGCAGACATGTTTTAGTCCTGCTTTTTTGTCCTGAGAGCAGGACCCTCTCAAGAATTGAAAAGCTAAATTTCACAGGGAAGCTGGGTTGTTTGGATTTTCACATTTTCATCTCTACTCTCAACCCCAGAACAGCCAGGTATCCTAGGAATATCCACAGAGCACGGGCCTCCATGGCAGAAATAACAACTGCTGTCCTTACTGGCACAGCCAAAGCCCGAGGCCTAAATCATTGTCTGTTGGAGCCAGTGAGAAATGGAGCAGAGCATAAATTGGTTGTAGATTTCTTTTGCCCAAACACGCATCTGCAAAATGAGACATTAGTTATTTTCGCATGAATTACCTGCACAGTTGAAAAAAATGTGATTTCTGGTCACCAGTGTTGTCAGCTTAGCAGTCTGTACAGTGAATCTATGTAATAAATGTTAATAATATACCAAGTATTCACAAAAACGGTAAGACAAAATGCACTGCACGTTGTGAAAAAAAAATGGTGGATATGCAATACAATTTTATCTACTATTCAAACCTTACCTAGGCTAGCATCAGATTCCTTCATTATGGTTCTACTGATTTTTGGACTGGTGAAATAAATCAGAGAACAGGAGTGCCATGGATGAAGAGATCACTGACACTTTGAACAAACATAGGAAAAATGAAAAACAGGCATGTCAGAGAATCCATGGGAAGTTTCAGAGCCTCAGCCCATGAAGTAACAGGCATTAGGTAAGGTAAAGAGAAGGAATCTAAATTTTCCTAAAATATGCTGTAACTTTACAAATGCTTGCAATATGTGACAGCCCATTGAGCAAGCTTGCATGGTCAAGACTTGATGTGCTTTGATCTTTTTTCCCCTTCTACATTTACAGAATGCCATTGACATTGGCTGAACCTTTAATTTAAATAGCCTTTTTAATATCAGTAAGCTATTGTAAATTCAGAAAAATAAAAAAAATTTATAAATATATTTTATATATCAGAGTATAACATATCTAGAGTAAAATAAAACTATATAGTTTTGAGAGGCATTCTGTGTGGCTTCTTCTATATGCTGTAAACTGTTTGAAAACCTTTGCAATCTTGCATCAGTTCTTTTGGCTTTATTTTTAAGCCAACATAGAGGAAAGAAGTGATTCCAGGGTTGGCAGATACTTTCACCTGGGCCATCTGAAGAGCCCTGCTGTGCTCCCCGGTGTCCCTGGGGAAGTGCAGGGCAGGGCTGGGCAGCGCTGCCCAGGTGGGAGCTCAGCCCTCACCTGAATGTTTACATTCCCTTACAAAGGCTCCCACTGACCCAGATTCAGAGTCTGAATGTAAGAACACACGGGGTACAAGGTCAGTTTCTTACTACAGGTAACTCTGCCTCTGTATGCTTAGTGCATTATCAGCTGTGTATAATATTAAACACAGACCTATAGTTTACTGATGCTTTAATTTGCTGTTTCCCTGCACTGCTGTTTAAAATAATCTGTTTCCTCAAAAGAGTATGATGTGCATACTGGATGTGTTAAATTTATTAAGGTCACAGATTACTATTTGCAAAGCACCACACTTAATGTAGTATTTTTGTACTGTAATGGAAGCATGCCTTCCTTGGGTTCTTTTCCACATATTAAATTGTATTTATTAATTGTATTTATAACTGTGCAATTTTTAAATATGTTTTAAAAATAAACTTTGTCTGTGGCTTCAAATATTTAAAAATCTCTTTTCAATTTGAAAGGGTCTTGACTTCAATTACTTAAACTGAAAGGAGAAATCTAAGTCTCCAACTGAAAGGATTTTTTCAGTGAGGTATTCTATCCTATTGTTTCCTCATACAGCCCGTATGAGGAAAATGGGGAAAAAGTAGATAAGAATTTTTCCTGAAGACCGTACAATAATTAAAACAGAAGTAATAATATCACAAACCAACCTTTATGAAAAGCAAACCAACGTGCAGTGACTGAACTCACTACTCAAGCAATTTCCCACATACCACTGTAGGAGTTGGCTCTCAGCATTTTCCAGTTCTGTCCTTCACAGGATGAGGTGAAAGTGCTGACAAGGATGATGCCATTCCTACTCTCTGCTTTTGCTGTGAGACACCAACATAAGCACAGACACGAGGGATAAAAATTCCTGTGTGCTGCTGTGGACAGAAAAGCTGATGAGCAGTGAGGGGCTGTGACAGTGACAGCACAGGGCCATGAGAAAAGCAGAACTCTCTCCATGGACATGGGGGCTGCCCCAGAAAAACAAACAGAACACACAGCCATGGTTTGCCTGCAGAAGGAAAGCTCTGTCAGAAAAAACAATTGGCTAAAACCTATGGTTTTGACCAGAACCTTCCACCAAGGAACAAAAGGGAACAGACAAAAAAAAACCACTAACCCTTAGGTTAGGACGAAGTTAACCGTGGGCTCTTGACACTGGTGTGTTTTGCTGGGAGATAAGCTAGTTTGGTTCTTTTTGGTCAAATGCACTGATAAAGCAGCAGGAGGAAAATCATTGGGTCCCTTCACATCAGGAACCCAGCACTGCTGTCCTAAAGCCAAAGACAATGGGAGAAAAGCATCAGTACCAAATCCACGCACAAATCTGCTCAAAAATCACTGTAAAGACATCTGAAAACATAATCACCCACTCCAAACATCTGTCAGTCATGCAGTAACTGTTTTCAATAATTTTATAGCATTTCTCTTCCACCATGGCTGCCCTTATTTGGGTTAGGCTTGTAGAACACCTGAAGGACACAAAGATGCAACTTCCCATTTCAGTGAGGGGGAGCAGAGGGTGGGAATTTGTCAGTCACCCAAAACTGCCTCCCACAAACAGTCTGCAACAACTAGCAGGCACAAATCCTATACAGGAAATTCCTGGAACTTCTGAACAGAGCCAGTTAGCTTCTACAGGGAGCCACTCTCCCACCTCTCCCAGTTGCCACAAGGGGTGTGAGCAGCGTGGTTTGAGTTGCCATGGCCACAAAGGACATCTGTGATAGAAGAGAAACCAAAACAGATCATTAAGTTTAGACGTCAGAAGCTGAACCATCTCTACACTTCTTATCACTCAACATGGCACATGCCCTCTACTTCTGTGTCAAGAAGTGTCACTGAGCCCAGCAGATTTATTTCTTACCTCTGCTCCAGTTGCTGGTCCCATGAGCCTATAAAAAGTTGATACCCCTTCAGTCTCTTTTTCAGCCTATTGCATCTACCAGAGTCCCAAAAGTCACATTTCTATGCAAAGTCCTTACTAAGAAGACAGATTTCTCCTTTACTAAGCAGCAGAAGAAATTTCTGAGCATGAGGAATAACAGACCATGATAAAGCAGAAATTTGGAGTGAAATGACAGCACTATTCCACATAAGCATTGCCAACTCTTGTGATCAAAGAACATCAGCAGGCCTAATAGTTAAAAGAAAACAAACCAATCTATAACTTAAAAACTGTTTTCTATTTTTTAACATGTTGTATATCCACTCAGAGCTTGGGGATTTTACTTTTTTTTTTTAATCCACAGAAATGCCAGGAGTCACAAGAAACCAAGACTCTCACAAACCTCTCTGCTCCCTGTGCAGGGTCTTTTTAAGTAAAACACCAAATGTGAACACAAAGAGTGACAGCATCAAAACACATTGTGTCTATTCCTCTTCAGTTCAGACAGGAATAAAGAAGCAAGAACCCACACAGTCACCAGATGTGAGAATATTTCTTTTTAATTTAAAACGGTTGCAACAACGTCATTCACAGCCTTTCTCATCTCAGACAAAAACTCTCCAGAAAGTTAACAGTGCTTCAAGCAAACAACTCTGAATGGTGCAAAGTAAACCAGGACAGACACTTCCAGGATACAACAGTAAAACCACTGAAGACTGAGTAGAAATCAGACACCAATCTCAGCCATTAAGGTAGGAAGGGCAACAGGGAAAACAATAAAATGTCCAGTTACATATTTTGCATAGACTTCCAATGCATGAGAACATCAAAAAGGATAAAAATGGCTGCTGCCAGGATGGAGAAGAAAAGGAATCAGTTGGAGAGGTTTCTAAAGAAATCTACTGAGCTCGGGATGCACCCACATTCTGAATGTGTTCTGTGACCTGGTGGAGGCTGTCTGAATCATAGAACTGGGCTGATGTTGGTTTCACTTACACCAAAGTCAGTCAGAGGTAATGGCACTGAACCCAGTGGAGTCACAAGTGATTGGGAGTTCAGAAACATCTACACTTATTTTAAAACTACAGGTCTAAATAAATTAATTTTTGTCCTAATTATATTTTAGCTAGGAAGATTAAATAGGAGTTTTTATCTACATGTGTTTTGAGACAGGAGATTGTGACTCGGAATGAGGAGTCTAAGGATCCAGCATGCTGCTAGGAATGAGAGGAGAAGAAGAAATCAAGGAAAAGTTATTGAGTTTTTCTTCCTTCCTATCTCCTAACCTAAATGCATAACACAAAAGAAGTAAAAATAAGTCTGAGAAATAAGAGCATTATTCACTGCCACGTCCTGGCTTGCCATGATTCTCAGGTCAGATTGTCTCAAACAGCTCACAGTGATTTTTCTTCCTCCATTCTTTTTTGTCACGAAGGTCCCAGCTCAGGGAGCCTCCAGCACCCAGGCACAGGGAGTGTGCCCAGGCTGTGCCCTGGCACCAGTCAGCACATTCAGATTGCAGCAGGCACAGCCTGGCAGATCAGTCATCTCTTCAGTTCAGTCTGTTTGAGTGGGGCTTCTGCAATGCTGGAGTTTAAAAAAACCCAAAACCCACCAAAACTCCCTCTCATTAGGCTGAGGAGTTTACATCCTGCTCCTCCAGTGTGATGTTCTTCACACAACACCCATCACAAAAGGGAGACAATTTAACCAGCCACTTGAAAAAAGGAGGGAGGCCACTGTTTTTGAAGACAATAAAGTAATTCCTCAAGCACCTGACTGAAGAACTTCTAACATATATTTAACTGCTAAATTTTAGAAAACCTGCAATTCTGACTAACTTTGGTTTGGGCAGGCAAAACACAAAAGTGATGAACTGAAAAGAAGGTCAGGAGCTGAGCTGCTCCAATTCACTCAGCACAGGCAGCCAAGGGCCCTCTCCTTCCAAACACCATTTCCAGTTTGTCACCCTCCCAGTGTGCCTCCTGAGACCAGGCAGCTCCACAAACATCACAGTTCTGGGATGCACCAAATTAGTTTGCAAGATTCCAGCTCCATCCTTGATCCTACAAGGACCAGTCATGCTTCCAGCTGGGTAATGAACATGGGAGTTACTCAGTTGGCCTTTATTTACCCAACATTTCTAAATAAAAAGGCAGCAATCACCAGATCTTGGTGGTTTCTAAATAGCCCTTTAAGTTCATGAGGCAAGAGGGAAGCTGTTGTGTTGAACTTCTTTTGAATATACATGGGAATTTAAAAAAAAAAAATAAATAAAGGAAGGGGAGAAAAAAGGCCTTTTCTCCTTTTTCTACTGCCAGAATGAAGAAACACACAGATATACAGAAGTTTTGCTCTTTCACTTTAAATAGAAGATGTATCACTGCATAATTTGCTGATCCCATTTTCAAACCTGTCACTTTCTGGTGAAGTCCTCAAATATCCAAAATCTGGAAGAAGCAAAGAAATTACTGGCAGCTTTTATTTCATCCAGAACTGGTGGCTCAATAAGCACAAGGCAGCTGAATCTCACAGGGGCCACTCATTAATGTGCCAGGACACTGCACTAATGTGTCCAAAAGAGCTCTAAGTGCAGGGAGCTCTCCCAGAAATTAGACACCTTTACACTCTACAAAATTATTGCACTGGAGTTTCTCTCACAATCTTTTAAGATCAAAACCTGATTAAAATACCAACAGTGATTTTTGGCTCTGTGTGAGGCTTTATGAGCAGAGGGAGAATTATATTTCCCCACACAATGCAAAAATTAAAATTCCCTTCTCATAAACAGATGTTTAATTTTGGTACTCCTCTGCCTGAATTTTGCTATTAAAACTTACAGGCACTAACAGCAGAGAAAATGCAATGACACTTCTCTGGCTCTCCTGCATTCTGCAAAAAAAGATTTTTTTTAGACTGCTGCAATTTATTTTGAGGACTTGGTAACATTGTACAAGGCAACTCCAGCAGCAGCCTCTAAGCAGTGTCCAACACTGTGAACCTTTGGGTTTGTTCTTTTTTTGGAATCATGAAAGGCTTTGCACTCACCATTGTAATTGTTTTAGAATGAGTGTTTTCAAATATAATTTTAAATCCCACATATGTATTCTCACTTTGAAAAAAACTTAAATAACACTAAAAAAAAAAAAAAAGACAGGATAGGCCAACCCCTGCCTACCCACCCCATCATCCCTGCTAGACATATCAAACCCCTTTCAGAAGGTGTCTGTTGAAGAGATCAGCTTATTGATGCATTTGTAAGTTTAAAGAAAATAAAAATATCAATTCAAGGGGGGTTTTATTGTGGTTGGTTTTTTTTTTTGTTCTTGGTTGTTGTTTTGGTTTGGTATCTTCTGAGGAAGAGAGGAGTAAATCAATAAATAAGAAAACTTACTAAGCAATTTTCCCCACTGAGATATGAAAGTCAATATTTAGGTAATCTTTAGCAGTAAGCAGGATTGCACTGCGAGTACTTTGTCAGGGAGTTGATTTCAGATGGAATGTGAGTGGTCTAGATACAAATTTCCCTGACATAAATATAATGGAACATTAAAC